CCTAACACCCGCTTCTCCAAATGATCCACTGCTCGTATGGCTGCATCGCCATGTGGGATCTTTGTATCGGTGATTTTTGGAATGAATATCAAAATCTTTGCTCAGTATTTCAAAGGGATTTGGGAAGAGAAGAAGGGATGAAGTGAATCAAGAACACCAAAAAACAAAAAAACCTCAAACACGATATTATTGTTTTCAAACGGTATTTGCTACCTCTAAAATTTAATTAGTGCTTCAAAGAACTCTTGACAAATAGTTCGTAAGATTGATTAAGGTTTGAAAAGGAGAACACTTAATACCTAGTGTTTTACTTTCAGAACTTGTAGAACACAAAAGGGGTTTTGAATATATAAAAGAATTGTATAATCTCGTTATAATATAGAATGATTTGTTGTAACTTGTTTCAATTTTATTTAGGAACAATAAATCATCTACTATATATAGTTTTCTATTAACACACCACAAAAAATTTCCAATGAATCCCAACGATCAGAATTTTGAACTAAACGATCACCCAATACAAAGTTCCTGAAAGTGAGGTTGGGCGCCTTAAGCCTGGGAGATCGCCCCTACCAAATTTTTCAATTCATCTTTTGATTATTTTCTCACTTATCTAATACTATTTAATCATTCCAAATTAGTTATTATTATATTATTGGACAAAATTACAGCATTGGTTTGACACACGATGATAAAATTAGTAGATAGTCAAATAAGCACAGTTTTATCCAAGGGCGGATCCAGGATTGGATCCAAGATCGGGCTACTATGCCGAAAAAAAAATTTACTCATAAAAAATTTGTTTTTTACCGAAAAAAAACTTAAAAATACCTTTAAAAAAGCTATTGGGCCTAAGAGGGGGGGCCCCCTCCCCCCAAATCGTTCTCTGGTTTTATCCTTATTTTCGGGATTGGGATCAAATTCAAAAAGATAAAGCTATTTGCACATCTCTCTTTACCACTTGGTTGACAGATGGATGATGTGACAATTTTATTATGGATGAATTAAATGTGTGAGATGTGAAAGGTAGAGTGAGGTTGTGCGAGTGTAAATTTGATTAGCCAAAATGTAAAGGGAGGAATACGTGTACCAAGATTGATTCAAAAATCTACTCTAATCATTATATTATAAGGTCTAGCTCGCTATGCTCGGTATCATTCTGAAAAAAAAGGTTGAACCTCAACTTTGAGGGTCCCCACCTCTCGTCCCTGGAGTATCGTGAGGGAGGTAAATCGAGGAATGTGTTTTTACAGGCTAGGGAACAAGAGCTTGTCCGTATATTAACTCTCACACTGCGACTGCCAGCAAGGCTGAGACTACCTAACTCATGTCCTTTGCACTATTGGATTATGCCACAGGGGGGACAATATCGTAAGGGAGGTAAATCGTGTGATGTGCCCCAACAGGACTCGACATCATTCTCTCTTCTTCTTTGGAAGGTTCAAACATAAGTCCTCCAATTCTAATATTAACTTAGTAGAATGATACGATCAATTCTTCCAAAAAGCCACAACGAACAGGAGACATGCATTCAGAATTTTTTCCATCTACAATCAAGTCTGAAAATTTATAACGATTCATTTGAGATTAATATACTTCAAGGTAGGAGTGAATACAATTCGTTATCAATACTTTTTTTTTTTTTTTTATCCATTTTCAAACAAAACTAGTTTAAAAGGTTCGAGAAAATTACAAATAAGAACAAACCATATTTTGCTATTTGATTCGATTTCAAACCACGATTTAACGACATCTAAATATCATCTTTCAAACAAATGAAAAATAAGCCCCCGTTTGGCCTCCATTAATTTTGGTTATAATGGGAGGAATAGTGTTTTTTTCCTTTCAAAAATGGATGGTTGTAAAAGAATTGAAAGTTTTCGATTTACATGTAATATTATTTCATTAAAAATTATATTGTTGAAATTAGAAGAGAGAAAAAATTAATTTAATTTGATGAGATATAATGAGGGCCCAACGAGGGCAATATATTGATTTGATATTTCACTATAACTAATACATAAATTGAATCATTCTGAACATAAACTTTACAATACTAACATATTTGTCTTAATACAAGCTTAAACCAATAAATGAATCATAAAATTCAAATAAATTAGTTTAAGATAAATTGATCTGATAATAATGTAAATCTTGGGTAAAATAAATATTTTTGTAAAAAAAAATTGGGTGAACAGTTTGATTTGATTTCAAATAGTTTTTAACTCTTGAAACACAGTCGAACCATTTCCAAAAATTTAGGATCAGTTTTGAAATGAAACCAACGATTTCAAAATCACGATTTCGTTTTGATTCGATGGTTTGATGAACTTTTTAGTTTACCATTACTTGAAGGATCTCTTACACCTAGACCCTCTTGTGTGAAGTGCTGCTCGCTCTAATCATTTTATTTTTACCAGCTTACTTAATCAAAGCAATGCAGTCAAAGGATGCTCCCAATATTTAATTTCAATCCCCACTTTTTTCTGGTTAATGTTTGAATTGTGATTATTAATGTAGGTTAGAAATTAAATTATTTTCAATCAATAGAAAAATAGAATCCTCTGTTCAATTTGTCAAAATTCATTTCACTTGCTTCTCCCTATTGGAGGGGCCGCTGGACACGGACCTGTCCATCCAGCAGGGTTCCATTTTTTAATTCATTCATTTCCAACTTGTTAGCTTCTTGTTAAAGCTCCCATTTAAATAATACTGATTTCAATGTCTTCAAATTTCAATGAGATAACTCCACCATTGGTCGATTTTGATTGGTTGTGCTTATAACAAGTTGATCCACGTAATTTTTTTTTTTTTTTTTTTATCCATTTTCAAACAAAACTAGTTTAAAAGGTTCGAGAAAATTACAAATAAGAACAAACCATATTTTGCTATTTGATTCGATTTCAAACCACGATTTAACGACATCTAAATATCATCTTTCAAACAAATGAAAAATAAGCCCCCGTTTGGCCTCCATTAATTTTGGTTATAATGGGAGGAATAGTGTTTTTTTCCTTTCAAAAATGGATGGTTGTAAAAGAATTGAAAGTTTTCGATTTACATGTAATATTATTTCATTAAAAATTATATTGTTGAAATTAGAAGAGAGAAAAAATTAATTTAATTTGATGAGATATAATGAGGGCCCAACGAGGGCAATATATTGATTTGATATTTCACTATAACTAATACATAAATTGAATCATTCTGAACATAAACTTTACAATACTAACATATTTGTCTTAATACAAGCTTAAACCAATAAATGAATCCTAAAATTCAAATAAATTAGTTAAAGATAAATTGATCTAATAATAATAATGTAAATCTTGGGTAAAATAAATATTTTTGTAAAAAAAAATTGGGTGAACAGTTTGATTTGATTTCAAATAGTTTTTAACTCTTGAAACACAGTCGAACCATTTCCAAAAATTTAGGATCAGTTTTGAAATGAAACCAACGATTTCAAAATCACGATTTCGTTTTGATTCGATGGTTTGATGAACTTTTTAGTTTACCATTACTTGAAGGATCTCTTACACCTAGACCCTCTTGTGTGAAGTGCTGCTCGCTCTAATCATTTTATTTTTACCAGCTTACTTAATCAAAGCAATGCAGTCAAAGGATGCTCCCAATATTTAATTTCAATCCCCACTTTTTTCTGGTTAATGTTTGAATTGTGATTATTAATATAGGGTAGAAATTAAATTATTTTCAATCAATAGAAAAATAGAATCCTCTGTTCAATTTGTCAAAATTCATTTCACTTGCTTCTCCCTATTGGAGGGGCCGCTGGACACGGACCTGTCCATCCAGCAGGGTTCCATTTTTAATTCATTCATTTCCAACTTGTTAGCTTCTTGTTAAAGCTCCCATTTAAATAATACTGATTTCAATGTCTTCAAATTTCAATGAGATGTTCCACCATTGGTCGATTTTGATTGGTTGTGCTTATAACAAGTTGATCCTCAAACTTTTGACATAAGTTGTGCAATCAATTTCAATTTATTATGTGGTCCTTGTATCCACTGAATGAGCATAAATGGAGGAGATTCCGATAGTCAAGTAGATGAAAAATGAGTGAGAAAATTCTCTTCTTGATTTAATTAGTGACAAACTGACAATGGTTTATCAATTAACTCTTCAAAAGTAAGGGCGGACGCAGAGATTTTAAGTTAAGGGCACAATCAAACTTTGTCCAAATTCAATACTTTGTTCTTGATTTTTGAATGATTCATATTTTACCCAAGAAAATGCAGATTTACATTTAATAAATATTTCTTCATTAATATTTGCTCATCGTTTTCATCTATTTGATTTTGAACAGTCATTTTATTGATATTTTACTCATCAAAAAGAAAATGCATATTTATGTTTTAAAAAAATTGTTTATTTGATACAAACAATCAATTCAAGTAATCAAAATGAAAAAGTATCAATATTCAATACTAATAATCAGTCAAATAAACACAATTCGTTAGATATAAGTTAAATTTTATATAATCATTTTAGACATGTACTATATACACAAATAGAATAGGAGAAAATATAAATTTAGGTCCTAATTAGTTGAAAATTTATAGTATATGTGATAATTGTAGAGAAATTATAAACAAATTTTAAAAAATTAGAACAATGAAAATTTTGGTAAAAGGCGAAAGGAGAGTAAGTAAGAGCAATAAAAAAATGTAAAAATTCAAATTTATTGTGATATTACCCCTATTTGGTGGGGATTAAAGTCCAAATTTTAGTAAATTTTGATAAAATTCAAGAAATTTAAAAATTCATAAAATATGTTATTAAAATTAATTATTAATTTAAATTTAAATTTTAATCGATACCAAATAGACCTCAAAAGTTAAGGGTCAAGTGACCCCTCAGGAACCCGTGGGTCCGCCCATGTTCAAAAGCTCTTTCGAAAATTCAACTCCATAAAGTTAAACGTGCAAGAGTACGATGACTATATGATAGAAATATAGCCGATTTTCTCTCTCTTATCGAAAAAATAATACAAAAAAACTCTCAATTCTCTCTCTCTCTCTCTCTCTCTCTCTCTAGATTTGTATGTACGTTCGTTGTGTGTGATCAATATACTGCATCTTGCCAAATTATTCATCATCTGTCGATTGATCAGAAATCATCAGACACCCTATAATTATCGAAACCGTTCGTTTATTATCTGTCATCTCTATCTATCTGAAACTCTCTCGGATCCATGGGAAAAATAACGACAATTAGAGACATCCTAGGAGTCATCAAAGATAAGGCATCCTTATCCAAAGCAGCCCTACTCTCAAAATCCAACGTTTCGCTTCCTCTCCGCCTAGCCATCCTCCGTGCTACCTCACACGCGCCACCAGCGCCGCCAGATGACCATAACCTCTCAAACATCCTATCTCTTGGAAACAGCTCACGTGCCACCGCCTCAGCTGTCATCACCGCCCTCATGGACCGCCTGAACGCCACTAGCAACTGTTATGTTGCCATCAAGTCACTTATGATTATTCACCACATCATTAAGCGTGGTCCCTTTATACTTCAAGACCAGCTTTCAGTATTTCCCGCAGCCGGTGGCCACAATTATCTAAAACTCTCCGCCTTCCGCGACGGAGCCACTGCTGAAACATGGGCTCTCTCTGCATGGGTTAGATGGTATGCACGTTACTTGGAAACCCTACTTTTCACTTCTAGGCTTATGGGTTATTTCATCTGTTCATCATCAAACGGCATGATTAAAGACAATCAAGAAGAAACAATCTCATGTTCGTCGAACGTTGACTTGATTAAGGAGGTAGATTCTCTGATTTTACTGATTGAAGAAATGTGCAAAGCACCTGATCCTACCCCAGTTGAAGGTAACATTTTGTTAAACGAAGTTATGGGATTATTGGCTAATGATTATTTATCAGCAGTTAATGAAATTTTGTTAAGACTCGGTGAGTTCAAGGAGAGACTGAGTTGTCAGACTTTCGGTGACTCGGTTGAGTTAATATGTGCACTGAAGAGGTTAGAAAATTGTAAAGATAGAATATGGGCCCTTTTTGCCATTAAGAAGCCTTCGATTGATATGTTATGGGGTTTGTGTGAAGAATTGAAAGATGGGATTGGGGTGTTGAAGGTGTACAAAGAAGGTGGGAAATTACTGCGTTCGAGGAGGGGAGAGAAGGCAAGCGAGTCCGATCGGTTAGAACAGCGAGTTTTGAAGTATGCTGACTCGGTCCAATCGTAAAGTTAGCTTGCTTTGTTGAATCGAATTTGTTGTGATTTTCGATGATAAAATATTATGTAAATTAAAATATAATTGGGAAAAGTGGATAGATAATATTTTAGTAATAGCTGTTTTTGGTCAACGTATAGGACCACTTTGGATTAACAAGTATAAAAGTTTCTTATGAAAGACTCTGTTTTAATGTATAAAAATTAATTATAATTGAAGTGGAAAACTGATAATCTCTGCCCCAGAAAAAATATAGCCAGTAACAACTTCATCAAATTTGCATACAATAAAGTGAAGAGAAATAGTAAAAATTCAGTCTTTCATATTTTCTGAGTTGGAAATTGAGATGCTCATTAAAAAAGAATTTTTTGAGAAAAATGTATTTTGAAATAGTGATTTTTAAGGGATTGAGTGGTTGAAAGGTAGGGAAAATATTTAAATTTATAAGCAAAATATTTTAATATGAGAATGTTGTTAAAAATCCAAAATGTTTTCTTAATTATTAAATATTTATCTTTGAGGAATTATAAGGTTGGAGAAACCTTCTTGGATAGGCCCTGTCCAAACAGGGGGCCTAATTGGTGCCCTCTCAGACACATAGGCGTCCCCTCCAATGGATTTTGATATTTGTACATCAGGATTGATGGTGTACCGATCGCTCACAATAGGAGGGACCACGACGACTAAAAAAATCATACCCCCTCCCCCATTGTGAGGGAATCGGTACACTGGGGTGTTAGTCCCCGAGTAAGAGTAGCAAGATCCCCCTCCAATAGAGGGGCGCCAATTAGGAGCCCTAGATGGACAGGGCCAACGTCTAGGAAGGCCCTATAAAGTTTTACGTCTTGAAATTTTTGCGAGTTAAATTACGGGTCCATTTTAAAGATGCTTTTGTTCCTTATAGAGTAACTTCTTGAAAAAGATATCTCATGTCAACATCATTTAAAAGTTCTTTAAATTAGACAAAATACTTTAAAAAAATTATTCAAACATGATCAAAAGTAGTTCAGAAATAACTTTTGACTTTTAAAAGTCTCGTCAAATGGATCCTACATCGTGGTAAGTAAAAATAATGAGTTTATTTATCATATTTTTTATTCTTCGTTCTTTATGGATGGATTGAGAATCACAATGTTATGAAAGTTAATTTCTGAAAGTAATTTGTCTTCTTTACAATTTCCCATATAAATTACATAATCTATGTTTCGAGATTAGATTATTTAGTAATAACCCAATCTATTTTTCCAGACCTCATTTGTGCTCTTCATCATCGTGCGACTTGTAAAATATTGCTCGATTTCGTAGTTACTATCTTATACGCCAATACATTTAGAGAAAAATTCACATCTATAAATGTTTAGAATAAAATTTCAAATTTAGACCTCGTTTGAGTCCTATTTTTAGGTCAAAATGTATTTTGAAATGGTATTTTGTTAGAGTATATGATTCAAAAATAAGAGAATTTTCGTGCGAAGTTATGTTATAGGAGAATGTTTGATTGAAAATGAGTTTAAACATAGAATTAACAAACTCATGGAAATTTCCAAAATTAGGTGACTACATTTATGACCTAAAATTTAACTAAGCCCCAAATTTATAGCTACAGCAATGGGTCGAGCTGGCTCGGCTCATGTACTCATGAGCTCGGTTCATCACTTGAGGTTGTTCAAGCACGAGCCAATCCCACGAGATCGAAATTTTTCTTTTTTAACTTTTTTATTTTTTTACTTTTTTGTGCCCATTTTTTACGAGCTCATGGGCTCAGCCAACCGAGCCTTACTAGGCCCATCGAACGAGTCCCTCATTCAGCTCTAGCTCGACGCGTCTCATGAGCCGAACTTCGACGAGTCTACGAGCTATTCGACCATTTTGTCACCCCTACCTGTTTGTGGCCTTTAATTTACTTTATCTTTCATACTCATTTTCAACCAAATATTTACACGTAAACCCATAATTTTTCCTACATTTTAATCACACATTTTCCAAAAAAATACTTTTTAAAATATATATATATTTCAAATTAAAGAGACCAAACGGGGGTTAAATAAGTCAAATTCAAATATTACACAATTTGTGAGTCATACTTACAATCCCAGAATCTACGGTATCACATATTATGTCACAGAACGCAATTAATAGATCACTGATTACTTACCACTCACAGACACAAAATTAACATCATTAGTTTTTTTAACCTAACTTCACCCCATGGTACCCTACCCCACCTCTTCTCTCGGACTCTCTCGTTCTTCACCCGACTTCTACGTCGTTTCTCCATCAGGATTTGATCCGATGGTGAGATTCAAGGGTGTAAGATTGAAAATTCCACTCGTCCAATGACTAAGGACCATCACAAACCACAAACCACATAAACAAACATGCCTCTCCAAACGACAACAGCCAAACGTAAATGCAAAAACAAAAAAGTCAGCCCCCGGGGCATAAAACAGTGGTGTAAAAGACAGGAGTGAGGTAATCTCACGCCTTGTTGGCAGCCGCAGTGTGGGGGTTCGATTCTTGAAACATGGAATTGGACTCCTTGTAGGCACAGTGTACAAGCAGCTCTTGTTCTCTGGCCTGTTGGGACACATCCCGCAATTTACTTTCCTCACAAAACTCTAGGGACGGACGGTGGGAGCCCACAAGGTTGGAGTTCAACCTTTTTTAAAACAAAAAAGTCAACACTGAGGTCCTTGGATGACGACCGCCAAACAAACTGCATAAGCAAATGCACATCTTTCCCACTCTTCTCTATCGCTCCCTCCATCAGCACTCCTCCATTTCTTCATCATGATATCAATGGAGAATGGATGACGCCACCTCATAGCGGCCAGATGTATAATCACTGTCGGACTATAAGATCTACAAGTGTCAAATTTAAAGTCGTTGAACCATTCCAACTGCAGTGCCACCGCCATGAGTCCAATGAAGAAATCATTACCAACTTTAAATATCTAGAATTTGTTAGAATTAAGCATGTAGAATATTCTAGAGACTCATTACTTGTTGGAAATAAAGACCACCACCATTCATGAAAAATCTAGAGAATAAAATTGTGAAGCCAATGGAAGAATTCTCCAAAAAAAAAAATTGTAGGCAGTAAACTCCATCCCCATATTTTGAATATATACATGTGTTGGCTGAATGTACGTGTGTGCATGTGGAGAGAAAGTTAGGAATGACAGGAAGAGAGTGGTGAGCATAGAGGGAGACAGTAAAGTGAGAAATGGAGTGAGAGAGAGTAATTGAGATATAGTGGGTCTAGTTGTTTTGGTGAGTGCTACCATACAATTGTATAAAATAATTGTGAGAGGTTACCTAATAGTGTCTAAGTGTCATTTGTATAAATATTCCTCTCAATAAAATAATATTTATAGGATTTAAATTCATCAACTTGGTATTAGAGCGAGGAAGTTTGGGAAGGATTTTTGAGGTTCTTGAATTCATGCACAAAATGAGTTTGTGAAGCTTTCATAAAACTTGTTTGATTATGAGGAGGTAAATCAAATCATGATGGACGACCCATAAGTGGTAAGTAAACAAGCTCAATAATCATAATTATACCACATGTTAAACTTGCATGGAGTCATATCTTCAAGGGCAAGACCTGTGGGAAGTAGTTGGTGGAAGTGATGTAATGCCGTTAGAGAAGTCCGGCGCTCTGAAAAAGTGGAGAATAAAAAAGGGTAAGACTTTGTTTGTTATAAGGACAACAATCGAAGAAGAATTGGTGTAGCATGTAAGAGACAAGATCACACCAAAAGAAGAGTGGAATACTTTGGCCCCATTATTCTCGAAGAAAAATGATTTGAGGTTGTAGCTTCTGGAGAACAAGCTTCTCTCGATCATTCAAGGGGAATTAATGGTAAGTCAATACTTTAATAAACTTAAATCCCTTTGTCGGGAAATTTCAGAGTTAGATGCTTCAAGTAAAATTTCGGAGTCTCGAATGAGAAGAATAATTATACATGGATTAAGACCCGAATTTAAAAGTTTCATTGTTGCAATACTGTAAGTGTTATTCCCTAGATCCAATCGATTTAGGTTGTAAACGCTTTTAATATGTTTAATGCATTTAATTTAGGCGAGATCTATTATTTATTTAAATTAATTTCGTGATAAATAATATTAAATAATAGAATCCGAAGATCCAAGTTTAAGTGATTTGTTAATCACAAGGAGTTGTGATTGTGAGATACAAATTACATATAATTGGATTTTGAATAAACCGTGGTCATAAGTAATAACGAGATACGGATATCGTTAATACAGTTAGACCATCACGTGGGGCATTCCTTACTTGTGAAGTAAGTAGCTGATCTCACGAGTTAAAGTGTGGTGACACTTAAATGAACATATGAATGTTTTGTTATAGAACAAAATATTGGAGACCCGCTAAGAGATTCCACATGGATAACTATCTGAGTGTCAGTGGTTAATCTCTAACGTTCGGTAATGAAATTGGTCCTACAACTTGAGGTCATCATAGTACCTTATATGAGGACAGTCATATTTTGACGGTGTTGGATGTTACTTTACCAAGGGCCGCTAATACGACATAGTTCGGGTATGTCAAGAACCATATGAAGGTTGTGAATGATCAATAGAGGATTCGTCACTCTTATATAGTAAGAGATTGTGATCTGCATTTCGTTCAATTAAGTCAATAACGAAATCCTTGGCCAAGGTGTACATATAAGTCGAAAAGGAGTTTTCGACTCATATTGACTTAATAGAAGAATGAAAGATATGATCGATAATCAAGATTGACACACTTCCATATCTCATAATTGATCGGATCATATTGACGAAGGGATTATAATTTCATGGTAAACGAAAAGTTTTGATTTTGTCATACCACGTGACATTTCCCGTCACATGTGTTGCCCTGATACATTGCTAGATGTCAATCTGGGACAACGAGTGTGAATCTATGATAAATTAAAAGAGTGTTTAATTTATCAGTTTTGATTAGATCAAAATAATATTTCACGTCGTTAGGCATCGTGGTCGGGAACCTAATGGGTTGCACACAAAACAGAATTGATAGATTGCAAATTCTCAATTGATTAATTTAACAATCGTTGGATAAATTAATGAATTGAATTTGTTATTTTTATTCCCTAATTAATTAATTGGATTGATTAATTCACAGACCGGGTTTAATTAAATGGATTAAT